GTGGTCAACATTCACATTTCTATTTTCTATGACAACCATTTTTATGATCCAACCAAACCGTTCACTCATAACCGAATTAGCCATGGTTAGGAAACATACTGGATCAATAATAGCATTAAAATTAATCTGATCTAATTTCAACTACGTCAAGTGTATTTTGAGCTTTAAGCAATCTTAACTTCTGATAATTTTTATAATACTAATACTTGTCGCTGAATATAAATCATTTTCAAGAGCAATGCACATTCCAAATCAAAGGTGTACTTTCAGTTTTGCTCAGCACCAATAAAGGAAAGATCTTTATCAAACCAAAAAAAAAAAAAGAGGAGAAATTTTTTTTCCAAGCACTAAGAAATTGAATAATAAGAAAATTAGTTTTTTTTCTTCACTCTCTTTTTTTTTTTCTAAGTGAATGTTGTGTCATTGTGACCCCACTACTCCGGTTCTTTGTTTTTTGTTTCTTGTTTCATCTGATGATAACCCTCCCATTTGTCGTTTTCTAAACTTTATACAAAGAGGGATCCATGTATGTGAATGTCTATGCATGTACATGTGATTTGCAAACTAAAGAAAATCTAATGCTAAACTTTTTTTCCCATCGTTCTCTTCCTGGCTAAACTTTGACAAAAATAAGTGATCATGGTCGATCCAGTGACACTCTCGCCAAAATACCTTAAATATGGGTGATCGATCCGGGTGACACAGAGCCAAAAACATAAGAAAAAAGTGATGGAATGTAGAAGCAGCTCAAAGCGATGTAAAAATCATGTCAGATGGAGACCTTTTCGTACCTAGCTTAATCTAAAATATGGTGGGATTAGCTTCACGTGGGCATTGGATTCAACTCATTATGTGCTACAGTTCAAAAGTTATTGCCAATTTAGTGAAGACATATAAAGTGATCGACCACAAGAGCCTATTTGGTGCAGTGTTGCACGCTGGTCGACCATGTTGTCTCAGTTGGTCGATTTTGGGTGCACATTTTACTATAATTCGGGTTTAATCTGTTTGGTCTCGCGTCGATCTGGTTCCTTCTCCTGTTATTATATATATGTTTTAGCACAAACAAAAACCATAATTCCTCCAAATATAGAGATATATTACTCTTTTAAAAAACAAAGAT